TGTTTCATGAATAAGTGAATGAATAAGCAGCAGCATCCCTTTGCTGATGACCAAGTGGAACCCAGGCCCACAGTTTATGGGCAGGCAGGTCAGACCACCCGGGGACTGTCTGACCCGCTTCCCCACTGCGGGCCACCCCCTCCATTCACACACCCACACACGACCTGGGACCAGGGCAACGTCCTGAGCTAGGATCAGCCCAGGCTCAGCAGGGGTGGGCTGTCTGTGGAGGCCTGCAATGGACACGGCAGGAAGAGCCCTGGGCACAGGCCTGTGGAGGAAGGACGGGCTCCCGTGTGGGCTCCATCCCACTGCTCAGAGCTGGCGTCTGACAAGCACTCGCTATGCCTGGGCCCTTGTCCAAGCTTTACCCCACAGCATGTGAAGAGGAACCCTTACCATCCACATCTTACACATAAAGCAACTGGGCTCCGGAAAGTTCAGGCCCATACATGCACCTTCTCTTCTCCTTTGTGAGAGAGAGGCCTAACACCCAGGAGAGGACCCGGGAATTCTACAGCCTCGTGGAGAAAGAACCACGTGACGCTGGCCCTGGGTTAGGACAGGAGGGAGGGACAGAAGCAGTCTCCTCATGCTGTCCAACTTGGCCACTTGTCCAGGCAGAGTCCAGGCACAGCCAGGCCAGAGGCCAGAGGGTGAAGGCGAGAAGGGCCTTGGCAGGGCCAGAAGGCAGGAGAAGAGTTCAAGCCCCAGCTCCTCTGGAACCCGGGGTACAAAGACAGCCCTGAATCCAACACTTGACCGTGTACAAGCTCAGAGGAAAGAGATCAGACCAGGAATAAGTCTGGCCCAGGTCTACTCCCGACACACCACACACACCCCCCTCTGCTCAGGTGTACGGCAGTCTGCAGTCCTCACACCCACCCGCACTTGGGTCCACACCAGGCCCTCCTGGACACCTTCTCCACGCCCATGCACCCCATGTGCTCACCTCCTCTGCAAGGCCCTTGTCAAAAGAGTCTGCCTCTCTGGGAGCCCTGCCGTGAGCCAGCAGACTCTACTTGGTGGAGACTCAACCCACCAGGCCCCGCTGGGCCTCAGGGAAGCCTGGAGCCAGGCTTCCAATTGTCCACACCCACATTCCTTACCAAATGTCCACCCAGCCCCCAAAAACATTCCCCCAAGAGATGATGCCCAGCTCAGGAGCCTTCTGTGTGCAGGTGAGATGAACCATGTACATCAGTGACTCAAGCTCAGGGAGAAACTGATCTGAGACTAGAGAGGAGCAAAAAAGCTTGTACAAGCTCAAAGGAAAGAGACAGACCAGGGACATACAGAGAGCGAGCGAGGCAAAGGCTGAGCGGGGGCGAGCGCTGATGAGCGGACGGAGCAGGAGGAGGCCTCAGACACTCAGGCACAGAGAGACGGACGCCAAGGGGAAGGAGAAATGCAGAATATGGGTGAACAGGAGTATCTCTGGGGCCTGGGAAGGGGGAGGTGGGAGGGTCCCGGGCCTCAGCGACCCTCCAGGAGACCTGGGTGGGTTTCTTACTCCCAGGGACCGCTCTTCAGTGTAAGGAGTCTTCTCTTGAGGCTGCTGCGAGGATAAGGATTGGTTGTCAAGGCCTGATTCCTACCCAGGAGCCAAAATGGATGCTGCAGGAGGAGGCCTTGATCACCAGATGACACGGTGCCATCCTGGCCACGTGTCAGGGTCCTATAAATAACTGCCGCACACCTTCCCTCTATGAGCATCCCACGTGTCAGGGCCTTCTGTCCACTGACCACCTGCTGGGCTCCCCCAGACAGCGTACTCTCTCGCCCTGCAGGGCCTTCTTCCTCACCACTGGCCCAGCCCCATCTCAAGGCCAGCCTCCCTCATGCACAACCAGGAGGACTCCTGGGCAGTGGGCCTCAGCAAGGCGCAGGCCAGATTCCAGCCCGCCCAGCTGTCCCTTCTCCCCAACAATCCCTCCCCCAGGGGGCCAAGCCAGACAGCCTCTAATCCTGTCATCTGACCCAGCTCCACCCTAAATTGGCTCTACCCAGCTACCCTACTGAGGCCCAAAGATGGACAGTGTCATTTATAGAGGGTCCAAGAAGCTAAATACAATGGGGAGATGGCCTCATGGTGGCCGTGGCCTGAGCTGCAGGCACGGACTCTGCACCCAGGCACTCTGGGGGCAGCCGGGGGCTGGAAGGCAAACAGCCAAGGCGCCACGCTGGCAGACCTGGTGACCCTCCCCAGGTATTCTCATGTTCTCCCGGCACCAGGCCCTTTCAACTGTAGCTCCACGCCAGCCAGAGCCACACACACCCTGCTCCCCGCTCAGCCCAGGAGCAGGCACAGGACACATTTGCTAAAGAAGGGGAGGATCTGCTAAAGAAGGGGGGGATCTGCTAAAGAAGGGGAGGATCTGCTAAAGAAGGGGAGGATCTGCTAAAGAAGGGGGGGATCTGCTAAAGAAGGGGAGGATCTGCTAAAGAAGGGAGGATCTGCTAAAGAAGGGGGGGATCTGCTAAAGAAGGGAGGATCTGCTAAAGAAGGGGAGACAGAGGAGTACGTAGCACAAACCAGTCCACCCACAGGCCAGTGGAGGCTCCCACGCCGAGCCTCCAGGTGTCCGTGTTTGTTCATGAACAGCCACCCAGCACCGGCAGGGCCAAGCGAATGCCTCGTCCCTCAGGAGCACGCAGAGCAGCGGCGGAGGCGGACTGCTCCCTGGGTTTGCCAAGGCGAGACCCATGGAAAGGCCCACTGAGCTGGCTCCACAGGCACCAGAGGGCCAGCTTTCCTTGACCACACTGTCACCCTCCAAGTCCTGGTGGACTAACCTACCACTTGGCTCCGCTCAGGAAATGCCCTCCTGGGGTAACTGGACTGGGGTAACCACGTCACTCACTGATCTGACCAAGGCAGGTGGGGCAGGGGCAGGGGTGCCTGAGACCACTGACAACAGGAATGAGAAGTGGCCCTGCCACCAACGGGAGGCGCTGGGAGGCAGCCAGGCCAGGGCGCTCAGGCTGGGACGGCCTCTGAGCTGCAGGAGGGGGGTCCTGTGGGTCCAGTCACCAGATTCCCTGGGAAGGGGAACTCCAAGGGGCCAACAAGGGGCAGACAGAAGGAAGGCTACTTTCTGAGACTCCGCCAGGAAGCCGGTGGTGCTGCGCGCTGGCTTCTGATGGGGATAGTGCCCTAACCATGCCCACCAGTAGCCCTAAGCTGCTCCAGTCCCCTGAAGCCCCCGAGGGGGTGGCCGAGCCCTTGTGCAAGCCCAGCATCCGCAGCTGACCCGCTGTCAGCCAACTGCCCACAGCCCCTGCCACGAAACAGGCGCTGACGAGGGAGGGGAGGCAGCTCAGTGGGATCAGTGGGACCTATCTATCGCCCCTTCCATGGAGGGTGCACAGCCCAGGCCCACTGCCCCTGAATCACTGAAAGATGCGGCCGCAGTGACAGGGCCACCACAGCAAGGGGGACACAGCATAAGCAAAGGGGGGCCAGGGAGGAGGAAGACCTCAGGAATGGGGGCAGGGGACTGGTCTGGCTAACTCTGGGCTTCCCTGTAGTCTTCCTGGTCCCATAGCAGGAAGCCGGCTGAGGCCCAGAGCTGTGGCGCCAGGCCCCTAGATGGCTCATGGGGTCACAGAGGGGGTAGAGGAGTGACGGGACAGCAGCATCTGCCCTCCCCCACCTGGGAGCCTGAAGCCATCCCAGCACCCACTGGCTATCTATAGGGCTTTAATCCGTCCTCCGGTGGAGGGGGTGAAGGAGGGGGTGTTAACAGCTGGGACAGGCCAGTCTGCAGCTTGGCTGAGGGCCCTCAGCTCCGCCACAGCCATCCACCTCCTCAGCCTGGGACCACCAGGACGAGCTGAGGATTCTGAGGGAGGCATGGGGAAGCTCTTACCCATGCACCCCACTCCATCACGTGGCAGCATCCTTAGGGAGCCCTCAGGTCCTAGCTGCAAAAGTCATTGTTGATAAACAGTCACGAGCCGAGCAAGGGAAGGCTGGTGGTCCCGGGGTTCCCACCACGCCACAAATCCTGCGGGCATGGGGCAGAACCCGCGGGGACAGAACCCAAGGCAGGGGACTGGGGACCACCCTGGCGAGGGCACATATTCTGCAATCTCAGATTTCTGAGTCGAGTTGGCAGGGGAAGTGGCCTCGGTAGCTGGCATGATCCGGTGCCACTGGGGACAGAAGGCCGAGGGAGCCCGGCCCCCAGCCCCGGTCCTGCGTTTCCTGACCGCTCAGGGCGCTGGGGAGGCCAGGCTCCAGTCCCCGCCCGCGGCCAGCTGCCCCGGCTCCAGGGCTCGGGTTTCCCGAGGCGCCCTCCTGCCCCTGCGGCCGCCACCCGCCTCCGGCTCGGCTTCCCAGCCAGCAGTGGGCCCGGCAGCCGGGCCACCACCCCTCCCGTCGCCGGAAACGCGAAGCCCCCAGGGCCGCGCAGCCCTCCGTTCCCCGGAACTTCCAGGCCGCAGGCACCCTAGGGAAAGGAGCCCCGGCCTGCGGGGACGCAGGGACAGGCGGCGGGAGGAGGGCGAAGCCCAGAGGCCTGCAGCGCGGGCCGGGAGGAGGGGGCCCCCAGCACCAGGGGCTGTCCGGGCACCAGGGGCAGGCCGCTCCCCGCGCCGGGCCGCAGCACCCGCGGGGGCCTGGACAGCCCGGGGCTCCACCTCGTCCCAATTCTCCCGGCCTCAGGGCGGGGTTAGCCTGGCCCTCGCGCTCGGGAGGTCAGCGTGGGCCGCCTTTGCTCCGCAGACGCGCGCGGAGAAACCCGAAGTGGCCGGGGAGGGTGGGAGCGGGGACAGCGGCGCCCTCTCCTGCCCCGCTGCGGGGTGGGGAAAGCAGATGACGCGGACCGAGAGGGCGACCACAGCTGGGGAAGCGCAGCCCGCAAACCCGAGGCCTTCGGCGGCGGTCTGTCGTCCAGAGGTGACAGTGCCTGACCCCCCGGTGAGGACCAGTCCCGGGGGCGGGATGGAGGCAGGTGACCCGGACCACGCGGCTGCCGGGTCTGGGGCTCGCTCACCTTCTCCTGCGCACGGGTGAGCTTCTTCTGCATGTTGCTGGCAATCTTCCCCGCCGTCACCCCCTTGCTGCCCATCTCTGCCATGGTGCCGCGGGGGTCGCCCGGTGTCGGGCGCCGAGCTCCCAGCCCCGGCCGCCGGCTCCAGTCCGGCCCCACGCCGCGCACTGGAGAGCCGAGACCACTGGCGGGGGCGGAGCGTGCGCCAGCGAGCCAGCGACGCGGGGACCGAGGGAGGGACGGCGCGTGGGGGAGGGGAGGAGAGGGGCTGGGCCTGCAGCCGCGGTCAGTGCCCCTCGCCCACGGCCGACAACACACTGCCTTTTAAAGGGCCTCGCCCGCGCAGGAACCGCTTGGCAGGTGAAGGAGCGGCGCGCACATATGCTGGGCTTCGGTGAGCGGGACTCCGGGACCGGGACTAACAGGACAGTGGATCCCGCGCCGCCGCGGGCCCCGCTCTCCTTCCCAGTGCTAGCCTCCCGCAGCCCAGGAAAGGAAGCCAGATGGACAAGCAGGGTGCTTTCACAAAGCAGAGATAATGGTACCGCCCCTGGAATCCGGGAGCCCCTGTCTCCTTCCCAGGGCTTCTCTGGCCCTGCGCTCACACTCGGCCTCCGCAGGGCCTGCAGACTCACCGGTCTGCACCTGGGCTCTCTGTAGGCTTCCCGGGCGTGTTCACATTTCTGCCCCAAGCGCCTAGTCCCATGCCAGCGAGGTGCTCAGTCTTCCAGTTTGCTGCGAGTTATTTTATTATAACAAACCGAACATTACTGAACACTCGCTGTAGGCTTGCACTCGGCTAGGGGCCTCCTGGTCAGGCATCATTGCATTCGGTCTCCCTAACAGCTCTATGAGGTGGGCACTATTATTAAAATGCAGGATGCCACCGCTCTGCCACCCTGGAAGGTTTCTCAGGGGCTGTGGGTCGAGTTGAGTGGACATAGGTGTCCTGGAGGCCCTGCTAAGAAAGAAGAGGCCTAGACATGTCCAGTGCATGGACAGGAGCCAGGGCAGGGGTCCTGGGAGCAGGAAGAACTCTCGCAGACCATAAGCCAAGACCCCCATACAAGTGGAAAACAGGCCCAAGAGAAAGGTTCAGCCTGGGTTGCAGTCGCTTCTCTCTTTCCTCGCCTGGTAGCCCCCCCCCCCCCTACTCCCTGGATGCTTCTGGTTCCTCCCACCATTGCTCTGCTCTGTGCCTAGGAGTGAGAATCTGGCCAATTACTCCTATTTTACACAAAGGTAGACTGAGACTCTGCAGCTGCAGATAAGCAGAGACCCCGACCCAGGCCCTCCGGCACTAAAGCCCTCGGCAGATACACTGAACTGCTTCCCAGAAAAAGCACCAAGCACTGCATGGATGGAAAGCATTTTGTCAAAATTATTACTATAAATTCATGCCTGATGTGTGAATTACCAAAACAAAACCTGAATAGTGCAGCCTGAGTTTTAAGACAGCTTGCTCCTAAAAGTGCTTCCCCCTCATGGCCTCTCTCCTCCTCATTCCTCTTTAGTCCTTTTCCCAGCCCTCCTCTGAGGGGCGGAGGTCAGCACAAGTCAAAGCCCACTACAGTCTGCCCAGGCACCGGCGTCTGCTACGCTGCTCTCTGGTGTTTGAAATATCACTTGACAAAAAAATTGGAAGCCACTTACATGGTTTTCAGTAGGGCAGGGTCAGCTGGATGGCACAGTAATCACTGGGGGCCTTAACCACCATTGCAGAGATTATGTAGCAACATGAAAATAACCCTTTTGGTATAATTATGAGTGAAAGAAGATAAATTGTGCGTGTACTATCCTTACAACCACCTAAAAATAAATATAAATGCTCACGACTGAAGACCTGAAAGAGCCCAAAGGAAACAGATGTGTTAAAATCAAGACAGTATGGCTGATATTTTTCTCCTTAATTTCCTCAATATTCTGTACTATTCTATATTGCCTTCATAACTAAAAACACACACAGCTCTATGTTCAAAGAAGGTAATTCTTCATTTGATTTCTACATTGGAAAGACTTTTCCAAGCACAAAAGCATTGGAGGATATATTGAAATGCTAGTTTGGTGTTACATAAAAATTAAGATTTTTTAAAGTTCAAATAATACAAATATGTAGGGTAAAAGTTTGGAAGGAAGTGCTCCAAAAATGTCAATACAAATCCAGGAGTAGGAAGGTAGGGGATTTTTACTTTTTTCTGTGATTTTCTACAGTATTTTTTTTTATTTATTTATTAATTTTTTTAACCATGGTAGCCCATTGTCTTTACTATCAGGATAGAAAAAATCTATTTCCATTTTGAAAAGACAGTTGGCATAAAAAAAATTAAAGTGTAAGAAACTAGGAAAATATTTTTTAAATAAAATAGAAGTCTTACAATGCATAAGAAAAACAAAGATCTCACTATATAAATGGGTGGCTGGTACAAATGGACAATTCTCAAAATTGGAGATTCAAATGATCAAATGGGTTTTAAAAGTTCAGTTTTACCAGGAAAAATTAAGTAATTAAATCAGCGAAACCATTTTTTTAAATGGCATTACTTACAAACAGCGCCAGGCTCCCTCGCGCCCCTGTCGGGAGTGCAGCAGACGGCGGGGTTCGGAAAAGCAGTCTCGTAGGATGTATTAGGAACCATCAAAAAAGTTATCAAAATATTCATATTCTTCAGCCCTAGAATCTCAAGTCTAAGAATGAATTCAACATTTTCAAGTCTTTAATAACACAGATGTTCATCATAGTCATCATAAGTGCATGAAGCTGAGGACGTGAGTGTGAACATGATCATCCTGTTGTCAGTCCAGTCTGCTCACTCTCGGCCTGCAGACATTTCTGAGCACCTCCTGAGCACCAGCCCTGGGCTCACGCAGAAACAGCGTAAAGGCCCTTCGGGGTACATCCCGTGTTGGGGGTCTGGGGGTCTGGGATTGGAGGTTCTCTGAAGGGGTGATGCTGAAGACCTGAGATCAGTATTGACAGACAGCAAGGAGGGGGCCTGGTACCTGGCGGAGCCCTGAAATGTTGATACCAGAAGAAACTACCAAGCAAGCAAATGTCTTTCTACCCTTCAGCACCCCGGCCCCTGAGCCCTGCACCGCTCTCGCTCCCACAGCACAGGCCCGGGCCCTCCTGTCCGGCCCGCCCCGGCCCCTGAGCCCTGCACGGCTCCCGCTCCCACGGCACAGGCCCGGGCCCTCCTGTCCGGCCCACCCCGGCCCCTGAGCCCTGCACGGCTGCCGTTCCCACAGCACAGGCCCGGGCCCTCCTGTCCGGCCCGCCCCGGCCCCTGAGCCCTGCACGGCTCCCGCTCCCACGGCACAGGCCCGGGCCCTTCTGTCCGGCCCGCCCCGGCCTCTGCAAAAGGCCGATTACCACCTGCGATTCACTCGGCTACAGTATACACATACATGAAATGTTTATCAAAACGACAATGCTCATGAAGTTTTTGTGACGGCGAAGTGCCTCTAATGTCTTGTTAATATAATGCAGGATATTAAATCGCATAACACATATTGCCAACTGCTGTCCAAAGGCAGTTGGTATCTCTGGGTGGAACAATTCAGAGTAGGGGGGGAGTTGTTGTGTTGTTGTTTTTTTGTCTTCTTTATTTTCCAAATTTTACACATGTATAATTTTTGTAATAAAAAAAAAAGCTATTAAAAATACAAATTTTTTTATCCTCACCAGAGGATATCTTTCTATTTATCTTCAGAGTGGGAGGGGGAGAGAGGGAGAGGAAGGGGGAAAGAGAGAAACATTGATGTGAGAGAGACACATCGACTGGTTGCCTCCTGCACGACCCTGACCAGGGCTGGGGATGAACTGTAACCAAGGTACATGCTCTTGACTGGAATCGAACCGATGACTCATTGGTCCGCCAGCCAATGCTCTACTGCTGAGTCACAACGGCTAGGGCAAAAAAATACAAATATTTTGTACTGAAATGAGGGAGCTGTGCCCCGAGACTCTGGTTAGGCAGCCACAGTGTGGCAGAGCAGAAAGAGATAACACAGAGAGTGTCTGTGTCTGCACATCTGGGAAGTAAAGTCTGGGAAGTGACTTTCCAAACCATGAAGAACCCAGACGGGCGAAGGGCAGTCTTCCCTTCCTACACAGAGGGAAAAGCTCCACTCTGTCTTTCTCCTGTTCTTCAAGAGGCTCCGAGCCAGCACGACGACTATCACCATCACTGTCTTACAGAGCAAGACATTTTTGTTTGTACTGTTTTGACTGTCAGAAGAATCCTGTGCTCAAAGCAGTAGGACTTCTGTTTCATAGCAGAACACTTGGGGAGCACGAGTGCACCCGGAGGTGCAGGTGGGTGGGCCCTCTGTTGCATCACAGGCCCCTGGCAGCTGGAACAGACAGCCTTCGTACCTTCGACCTGCCTTGGGCTTCATCCCCTCGAAAGACAGGGAGGATCCAGGAGACTCCAGCAGAACCCGGAGGGGATCTGTCTTTCCAAAGCATTATTTCAGGGCAACATATTGTGATATGGTGTCCAAAAAGGGCCCCTGACTCCAATTATCCTCACTCCCTCTTGTGTAAAATGCCACCATGAGTCCGGCAGTGTGGCTCAGTGGCTGAGCGCTGACCCTGCACTAAGAGGTGGTTGCTTCAATTCCCAGTCAGGGCACATGCCCAGGTTGTGGGCCCGGTCCCCAGTGGGGGGCATGCAGGAGGCGACCAATCGATGTTCTCTCATCCATGTTTCTATCTTGCTCTCCCTCTTCCCTTCTTCTCTCTCTAAAAAAGCAATAAAGAAAAACAAAATTTAAAAATGCCACCATGATATTGGGAGAGGAGCAGACCAATCTGGAGTCAGGTCAGCTCCTCATGTACCATTTTTCCATCTTGGCAATATTATTTAAATTGTTTCAGCCTTGTCTTCAATATAAGGAGAGGGGTAAATTGCATTCCGTAGACAGTTGTGGAAATAAAGAACAATATACATCAAGCCTAGAATATTGGAAGTGACGGTAAGCGGTGACTCTGGAGTGGGTGGCGATGCCGTAAGCCTGGTCTGCCCAGGGAACTGTCGCACTTTCTTCAGGAGCCCCCTGCGTGGTGTGGTCGGAGGCACCTTGTGCTTTGTGCCAGGACGTGCACATGCTCCAGGGGAGCCGCTCGCTGCAGCCGAGACCGGCTCAAGGAT